ACTAGCAGAGAAAGGAAGAAAGCTTGGTACCTTATGACTTCCAATTCACATAGTCAAGTTTTCAAATCAAAATATTATATTAGCTATACAATCACAGGAACACTGTTTTCAGTGTTATGTCCTAAAACCACATCTCGTGCATTTATCAGCCTGCCACACTAATTCAAGGGTAATGCTGTGGAACTCTAATTTGTGTAGAACAACAACATTGGTCTCTGTAGTTCTTACAAGGTCTTGACCTTACTTATTAAAATAGTCCAACTGAAATTAAATCACCACATGAAAAGTATTCTTCATTAAGCATAACTGTGAAGAAGAAGCATTGCTATTTATTTTCAAGGTTTATCTTTATTTTACAGATAAACGATATTATCATATGGCAGTTATGCCCATGAAGCAGCTAGGCCTAAGTGTTTGCTATGCCAAGCACTGCTATTGCTGTTGAAAGAGTGCTTTATAACAGGGACTATTTAAGTAAGCAATACCAGGCCAGTATAAATGAGATTTATGAAAGACTCTTCAAACTATTTAGAGACTATTCTTTCCATTTTGCGTGTGGAAAGGAAGTGGCATTCCTCTAAAACAGAGGATTTCACAAGAGTCTCCTTTGACTATGGGACCCACACCGACCCACAGCCTTTCTCTACATTCGCTGACCATCCGTATCTGGCAGAATTGTCTTAAAGTTATATATGGGTGCTGCGATGGCAGTGCAGTGTACAGACATAAAGCTTTATTCATGAATGAATCTCATGCATGCCAGACTTGAAGGAGGATCACCTATCTCATTCAGACATTTGCCAGTGCCATGTTATGCTTTCTGATTAGGTTTTCTCGTGAATTTGCTCACGTGATTAGCAAGACAAATGTGAATGAGCTAGCAATGATAGAGATGTGATGGAAAGTGACGTCCAGACTGGACTTAATTTGCCATGCATTTTGGGTAATGTTAGGTATAGCTTCTGGACTTCCTTGCTCCTAGGGATTACTACTATTCCTTGACAATGGGGTAAAAAACTATTGAGTAATAGTAGGGAAACTGCCATAATGTCTCTTCACAGATTATTACAAACATATACTTTGGAAGTGGATGACTAAAGAAATAAGCTTATACCAGGCCTGAGTATCCATTTTAACTATGTCTGATGAAGATAAATCAAAAAAAAGCCTAAGAAAATATAAATTCTACTGGGCTGCTATTATGTATGCTTCTAATCAGAAAAGGAAAAATCTTAAATACACATGCAAACGTACAAAACAGGACAAAAGACCAGGTTTCCTTTCCTCTTTTTGGTTTCAGGCATAAGACATGCAAATGTGGAAGGAAAGAAATATCCCTCTAAAAAGAAGAGTCTTGGAAAGTTGGCAATATAAAAAAAAAAAAGTCTTAAAAAATAAAAGGAAAAAAAGCAACACCAGTGCTACCTCAATGTTTCACTACAAAATGAAAAGTAAGGTATAGAGAAGGCAGCAGTCACAAATTTTTTCTCTCTTATATTTTTATCTCACCTCATTCCAGATAACTTCTGGTCAGCAGCTTCATTGCCACCTAGGCCTCTCTTAAGGACTAAGAAAGACATGAAAAGAGGTAGCATGACTGGTTCCACTGAAGCAGCACCACCGGTTCCACTGGTCCTGTCACGGGGAGGGACCAGGAGCCTATGTAGGGAATGACCTACAGGATTAGAAAAGATCATTATCTTCATAAATGTGGTAGGTTATTTTTGTGAGAAGAGGAATAGAATCACCTACCACCTCACAGCACTCACATCCACTGTTTGGTCTCTGTAAATGTTCAACAAACATCAACGAATGTCAGTGGGTTCCATTTCTTCCACATGAAAGAGTTCAGTTCCACACCTTTGCTTCATATGCCTTTCCATGTCGCTCCATTTTGTCAGACAGCCCCTCTGCTTCATCTGTCAAACAGCAACAAAACAGAACGGATTATTGGTGGAAAGGTTCAATCTCTACTGCCATACCATCAACATCTGCTTCTGACTTTGTGGGCCAATATTATAAAATAGGAGGCATTAATTTCAGAGCAGTCCTCATACTTCATAGTATCATGTTATGGCTTTCCAATGCAGCTTACTGATCATGTAATGCCCCTAAAGGGTTCTGTCCATTTACAAAATCAATTAATAATGATCAGTAGCCGAGAATGGGAATGGACTGGGAAGTGCCCGTGCCCTTCAGATGGGTACACTGGCATTTTCTGTAGAGGGGAAATTGGAAAGAAGTAAGCATTTCTAAAAATGTAGATTTAAATTATGAGTTAAACTACTTTCAGTAGCATATGGACCCCAGATATTATCTTTCTTCTGAACTCAAACATTATGCGTCTCCAAAAAAAGGAGATTACAAGAATGGAGAATAGATGTTTTCTGCATATGTTCTGCAGGTATTTTTGAAGACGAAAGCCGGAGCTGAAGTTAGAAACTCCATCGTGGAGTGAGACCATGGTGCATACTGATATCTAGCCAGTGAGGCATGCTCATGAGGAAGGAAATAAGACAATCAAAAGAGTGGTTTTCCCTCTTCCTTTTTTCCCTCTTACCTTTTCCTTTTCATACTCTTGTTTGCTGGATCAGAGTTCCTTAGTTTTGAAATGCTGGGTGTTTGAGGAAGAAACTACTTTGTGAACCTTACAATCTCAGGCACCATAAGAAGTGCAAATAAGGGAAAGTGCAGATTTGCCAGTTTGTTTCATGTATTTTATGTATTGAGACAAAGAGCGCTTCATCAGCACAGACTGTTCTCCAATATTTCATGTATCCTATTCTCTTCTTTTGCTGCTCCTCCATAAGAGCTAATTAAAAGAATAGGAATAAAAGGTCAGCTTTTCCAGTCATAGCTTATTAGTGAAGTCTCCAAAAGATGTATGCAAGGACCTGTAAGAAAAATATCTGGCAGAGGAAATATTGAAGTAACAAATAATACAAAGCTATTAGGAAAAGTACACGCTGTAAAGAGTTTTAAAGGGATACGATGATACTGATTGTGTTATAATATGGCAAGTATGTTTCAGTAATAATAAGCATAAATTGATGCTAACTTTAGATTTTTAGTAATGCCTGTTGGATTGGCTCTTACCTCACAGAGTAAAAGATTTTTGGGCTCTCTAAAAACTTCAGCCCAGAGTTCTGTACAGGTGAGGGCAAGAAAGATAGTCAAATGTATGGAACAGGCAGAAAGGATAAATTGATGGAAGTCCCTGAGATAATGAAAGGCACTGGGAAGGGGAATAGAGAAAGGTAATTCAACCCTTCTTGCAGCAGTGGAACTAGTAGACATCAATTGTAACTAATTCTAGATGTCCCTTGTTCCTTGCAGGGGAGCTGATGGATGACATTAAAAGGTTCCTTCCAACTCAAAAGGTTATATGTCGGGTTTGAAACCAAGTGTGTAGCTGGGCTGAGCAACTCGTAAACACATGAATGCAAAAAAAAAAAAAAAAAAAAAAGGTTTAAAGATGCACAGAAATTAACTATACAGGTTGGTGGAATAAATATATCAGAAAACAAATCATGACAACATAAGTGATGCAATTGGACACAATGAGTATTTTTTCTTTTACAATTCTCTAGATCCATTGCAGGGAAAGAGAGAAAAAACTGTAAGAATGCTCAGTCTGACCCAGCAAAACTGCTCCTGTGTTATTTCAGGAACTGGAAGATACATTCAGTTATTCTTGTTTGTAATCAATACAATATGTGGAGTGTACACATAAATGTGTGTGGCAGCTGGCAGCAGTTTCTGTGTCTGTGGTGGGAGATGTTCAGAGCAGTGCCACTGCTTCCTTGTCACACCTCGCACACTGTGCCCTTTGGTGCTACTGAGCCTAAGAAGAAGGAAGAGAATTCAGAGCTTCTGGGTCTCTCTCTCAGTTCTGGTAAATTTGTGCCAGAAGATGGTAAAATGTATTTCCATGAAATGATGGGACCCGTATTTTGTGGTTTGGTTACATTCTTCTGTGCTGCACTGATTTAATTTAACCAGGCTTTCACATTTCATTAATCCTCATCACTTCTTCACTCACTGTTTTCTATTAATGTTCGTTCATGTTCTCCTTGTTGTACAACTCATCAGTTCCTTCTTATTGTGCTGGTACATAATTCTTCACCAGCTTTCGGGGATGGTATCAAAACTGGAGAGAAACATTTTTTCCCTCTTTTCCTGTTTGTTTGTTTCAGAAGTGCTCGCACTGACATGAATAGACTGACTTTCCTTGCGCATGAAAAGAGAGAGAGTTGGGGTTTTCTGTTTTATTCGTTCTGCACCACACATATTTTCCCCACCCACACCCTCACTCACTTTACACATGCTCACACACAGAGGTGCCTGTATACTAGTGACTTTCAGAGAATTTCACTCAACTTAGGAGAATGTGACCAATGGCTGGGATGAAATGTTTATATTTTCACGAGTCATTTCCACCAATCTTACCATCACAAGTGGGTGTTTCTGGGAAGGGTGCTAAAGCATCCATCACTCAGCATTTAGGACATTGAAATAGTGGTACTGAAAGTAGAGCTATGAAGAATTGAGGTACACCAAGTTGTCACAATCTGTTCGCTGCCTGCCCGATTTAGTCCCATATTTTAGAAGCAGAGCAGCAATTTAGCTGATAGATGTTGCAGTCTGCATTTTTTCTGCCTGTTCCTTCATTGGTAATGTCCATGTGGCTCATAGCTCTACCTCACTTGCTGTATCTTTAGACTACTACTACTCATACGGGAACCCACAACTAGATAGCTCATATGATTTTGTGAATAGTGGGATTTTTCTGAACCTGCAGCATTTCTCTTAATTGTTCTCCCTAAGCTGGATGTCTCTGCAGATAGAAGAGTGCATCTGCAAGTTTCAGGATGTGCAGTTTCTGTTTTACCCGTTTGTGGGTGAGGTGGGATGAGTGTGGTGGGGTAAAGAGAAGGAGAAGCAGTCTCCAGCATCAGTAAAGATTCTGGTACTTCACATCAGTATCTGCTTTATTACAGGTTCTTCTGTTTCAACACTGACCTGAGGAGAAGCTCCAAGGGATGAAAGGGTTATTATATGACCGGACACCTTGGGTCACCTGGGGTAAATTACCATTGCCTCTTAGTTAAGTCCTCGTGTTCTGATGAAATCAGTGGAGCTTGTTTTCACTGGTGCAGTATCTGAGACATCAAGTTTAATGAATCGTTACAAATGATTTAATCTGCACTTGCAGGTGCTATTAAAACTTTTTTTTTCTTTTCTGCCAAGACCTTTTTTTTCTTTTTTACCTAGGAAAAGCAATCTTTCTCAGTCGCAATGGTTTAAATAGGGAGTAACAGGATAGGTTTTGCTCATTAGAAAGCCTGATGCTGGCTTCAGTATTCCCTTCTGCTAAAATTACCTCCTCCAGCATTTAAGACTTTAAGTTGCAGGGGATAAAACATAAGGCCCTGGTTAATTGCAAATAAATAGTGCCAGAAATATGTACAGATGGTACCTGAAGTTCACTGCTGAAGACTATCCAGTAGACTATATATAATTTGCACGACATGTATATGCAGGAAGCAGGAGGACAACTTTTTGTGGTTTCTCACATTTGTAAAAAAAAACAAAACAACAAGAAAAAATCAAAATCATAAATGAACACTCTCAGCCTGTGAAACTTCTTATTTGGGAAAACAGCAACCTGGATTTCTATTTATTTACCTTAATTAAATTAATTAATTTAACAAGTCTGAAGATTTCAGTGTTTTATAGGATACAGGTGTAAATATCTGGCGAGTAGAGTGTATATATTAAACTACATCTACTTAGCTAGTAAATATTTTGCTGCATTAGTTTGCTCATTCCCAAGCAATCAGTTGTGAACTCCAGTGTTGTAACGGGTCCACAGGGAACATTTGTGCTTTGGTTGGCACTTAGATTAAATTCATCAAATGATTTTTTTTTCCCCCTTCAAGGCTGACATTTCAGAATGTTTTTTTTTTTTTTTTTTTAAAGGTTGTGTGCCAACTGCCAAAGTCAATTAATTAAATGGTAAATCTGAAATTTGTAGGGGAAGACTATTATTCCATTTTGCTCTGCGACCTTGGAAGAGTGAAGATTTAATCCGCAAAACACATGGTTTACCAGAGGGTTCTGATCTGCTTGTACTGAAAGTAAAAGCAAAAGATTTTTTTTTTCTTTTGGTCAAATTAGGGATTACCTAAGGTAAGATTACCTAGGTGGGATTTTCCTGCATTTTCTTTCTGCTTTTAATATTCTGTAGTAGTAAGCATATCCTTTGAGTTCTTCCCATACTTGATGGCTTGAAGAAGTCAGCGGTTAGTAGAAAGAAAATGTGCAAAATTTTGGGGCTCTTTTTCCATTAATTTCGAGACTATTTATTCCTTGAGTGCATTACAGACAGCCCCAGAATTTGAGATTCCTACATCACTCAAAGAGCTTCAGATCAGTAAAGGAGAGAGTAAGAGTGAAATTCAATAGTCATGAGTAAAATGTTGATTGTATTCTAGGGAAGTGCAGGTATCACAAATTACCACCAAAATCACTTCCCCTGAGGAGTGTATCTGCCTTCAGTGGCTACAAAGGCAGTTTGGTTGCAAAGCTTTGACTGGACCTTACTTCTTCCTTCTCTATACACTTTCAGTATATCTTACTAAACTTCCCAGGCTGTTTGAAATTTTTCTGTCATAAGAAACAAGTGGAAATGAGTGCAGCGCATTGACTGTTCTTTAGTTCTTAGTGTTCTATCATTGTTTTTATACTTCTTTTGTGTGTTTATTTAAGTTTTTCCTGCCTGAAGATTGGATGCATCTTTATTTTTGGCCTCTGTGTGTGCATGGAGTGGGAACACAGTGCAAGGATGGAATGAAAAACTGTAGAAATGGTGAAGAGCACAGATGAGTCGATGTAGATGATACAGGATGCAGTACTTTTCTCCCTTTGCCATTTGAAATTCTCTCATTTGTTTTACCACAGTTTCACATTCAGGACTTGTACCAAATTTCTGGCCTGCACAAAACTCTTATTTCACAGTGTGATTAAAAATAAGTACTTGCTTGTTTGGAAGGAGAATTTGATGGCTCTTTGTGAAGGGGCAGAGTACATAGAACAGCCATTTGTGGTAGGGAGAAGCAGTGAAAACCACTTATTGCCAAGGACGTTTCTTAAATACACAATTTGTAGGAATTGCACGTTTTATATATTAAGATAGGGGAAATGTATGAATCCTATGACAATTCATAATCTTGCATTTATTTTTATTTTTTATTTTTGTCCTCGCTTTTATTTTTGTTTCTTTGTTCCTCTGCCATCTCTTTAGAACTGTTCTCCTTCTCCAGATACAGGCTATTTTGAAGTAAGGACATTTCACATGTTCCTGTTGAAATTGTTCCTCTCTGTGAAAGAAACTCACAGGTATGTTTGCCCACAGAGCCTGAGTAACTCAAACGTGAGAAGTGGGAGATCTTCAGCTCTGTTCTTCTACTGTAGAACTGTACATTCCTGCTGTACTTGATCTGAAAGGTATTTGAAATAAAATATTAGCAAGAATGCTGCCACGAATGAGATAAATGAAGGATGCTTAGTGGTGGATAATGCTGAAGGTTGAACTTCTTTGACTGAAGAGCTACAGCTTCTTCAAATTGTAAAGACTGCACTGTTTCTATCTATGCCTAAAAGGAGAATATCTGAGGAAATTTGGGTACCTTTAAACACTTGAAAGAATTTAGACAGTGACAAAGCTAAGCAGTAGATGAGTGGAAAATTAGAACATTGAATTTTGTTTTAAATCTCATCTAAATCACCTGAAGTATTGAGTAGGTCTAAAACTCCGCTGATGTGTGTTTAAAATTGCTACCAGTGGGATGGATTTGTTGATATTTGTCTCAGGGCAATGTTGTGGTGATAAATGTGTCAAGTTCTCACCTATTACAGTAATAACTGTACCATGTATGGATGTAGACAAATAAAAAGGTGCATTCAATGGCTTCTAAAACTTGGCAGAGAACAAATCTCATGAATGCTTCTAGTTGATCACTAGGCTATCAAAACTCCCTTTGCCAATGTTCGGTGGTTATCTACATTGCTTCTCTGCAAAATACCTGTGCCTCCCATGAGCTGTGAATCCAGTTTTTCAAGAGATCATTAAACATGAAAGCACTAAACATCCTAATTCTTTTCCCCTAAAGTTATATCTCAGCATTGTCTTCTTCAGTAGCCTTGTCTGCAGGAAGTGTAAAGTTTCCTGCTATGATTGTTTGAATGCTGCCAATTATCAGATCTGTTTTTGGCAGCTTTCCCCTCAACCTGCTGATTAGCTAATGTACGGTTACTAATACAATATGGGAAACGGGTGTGAATGAAGAAGCAGAAGATTTATTAATTTCATGTGCTAAATACTGTTTGTAATATAATTATCAATACTGTGAAAAGAAATCCTGGCTTCTTGTGAAATGAGGCACAAGAATTTTGTACGGTAGATAGGCGTACGCACACACAATTTTCATTAGATTCATAGAATTTAAAGGCAGAAGAGGGACCATTAGAGCATCAAGTCTAACTACCTATAAAACACAGGCCACAGAATTTCATTCAGTTACCCTGTATCATAATTAATGGAAAGCAGGAGCCAGATCCAGACCTGGATGCACAGCGTTACCAAGCTGGAATAATGGTGGTTTATCCCAGCTGAGAAATTGGCAGTGGAAAGAAATGACAGCATGTTATGGATTCTTTTTTTGCATAAACCAAAATGAAAATGGTGACATATATTTTAATAGCAGTGATGAAAGAGACTTGATGGAAGTGAGTTTTGCAAAATATTTTAAACTTTAGAAGAAATGTTTTTTTCCAAAACCTTTCTGGGATGACTGTGTTCCCTGTCATTATCAAAACTTGTCCCTCTGCTGAAGGAAAGGAACAAAGTTAACAGAAGAAAAATGTTTCTCTTTAAACTGAAACCCGTGCCAAGATTTGTATGTGTAATTAATTTGAGCCCTAGGATTTTAGTGGAGGAAGGAAGGGCTAAACCTGAGTTTTTCTAGAGCCAGCACTTGAACTCAGAAGTTCAAAGATTAAAAGTCTCAGGCGCTAAAATGTAGAACCCGTGATTTCTTTCATTAGGTTCTATATTTGGCAAAACAAATGTCTCATCACTCTTCTGTAGCCATCTGTACGTGTGTGTGGATGATGTTATTATACTTACTGCAGATAGAGCCTTATCATTTAGCTACAGACAGACTTCTACCTGCTCAGAGCTACAGGGTTTAAGAATGCACTCAGACAATATTGACATAGCCAACGCCATAACATCCTGTAATCTGCACACAAATGAAGGCATTCTGAAGACCAAAGCTCAACAACAACAAAAAAAACTTCCTTCCTGCTGCCTTAACCCAGGAGAGAGTGTTTAAAGGAAAATACTGGTGTGGGGAGAACACCCATCAGATTCCCTCAGATTCTCCATTGTGTCCTGTCAGTTCTGTCTCAGGAGAGGGCAAAATCTTTTCTGTTGTGTGATGCAAAAAACTGTGTCTATGATGTTAGCATGCACAATATATGCATAGGTTGCTCCAAAAGTAATGCCTTCTATTTATTTCCATGGAAACTATAATATGTACAAGGTCACAATAACACTATTTGATAAAGAAAACTTTCAGCTACAAAACACTACTTTTTTCAACATAGTCACCATCATTAGCTACGCATTTTTGTCACCAATGAACAGGAGCCCACATGTCACACTTTCAAAGATCTACACCAGTGGAGATGACCCACTGTCACTGTTGCTACTGCTGAAACACATCACTCACTGCCTCACTGTGCTCACACTCACTACTTGGTCTCCATCAGCATTCAGCAAGCATTGATTAATGTCACTGGGTGCCACTTTTTTCACATGGATGAATTAAATGATAGGCCTTTGCTTCACATGCACTTCTGTGTCAGATGCCATTTTGTCAGACTGCCCCTCTGCTGCAGTCACACAGCAATAAAATGTAATGGAATACTGGCAGGAAGGTTCAATATCTACTGCCATACTGCCACCATCCACCTCTGATGTC